CATCAATCGGTCTCCGGCTGAAGTTCTCACTTAGGTTATTTATTCCAAAATTGCACTCTCTATCCCTATTGGGGCAAAAGAGTTGTTCAAAGGCTATGAAATCTCTACCAAGACGGACAAACGTCGTCTGGGTAGTGACTGGAACGCCTGTTGGTGTACGGCTGTGCACTTGGTTTAGGGCAATCACTATTGCGATTGATTGACTTACAAACGTATCATGCTCTTGGCAGCATCAGACGTTTCCAAGTCAATCAACCAACTCCACTTGAAACCAATCATACAGCCGTCCAGGGGCAAGGACAGCCATGCTTTTGATAAGTTAGGCAAAAATGAAAAATTAAAATTCGCAAAAATTGAGATTCAAATGCAAATGCAAGATGAGCAAAACCGACTCAGTCGGTCCATTCAATAAAATTCCACTTAACCAAACGGTTGTAGTGGATTAAATGTTAACCGGACCCCGTCCGGGAGAAAGGAGAAATTGTTAATTAACCCGGCTCCACAGCAGGTAAATACAAAGGTACTCGGCACACAGGCCGGAAAAACAAGTTTTGGCATACTGCCGCTGAATAAAAGAAAAACGAAAAACAGAGATTGGCATATTGCCGCTGAAAAGTCACTTCTGGCCTGCAAGCAGCTTCTCCTGGTCCTCTTCCTCACCGTCTGAGGGAATCTCTTGTGCTTCACCGGGACCAGGTTGCTCAGGCGCGGCGGGCTCACTGTTAGAGTTGACCCAGGCTTCAAAGGACTCAGGCTCTGGCTCACCTCTGTCTCTCAAGTACACCACGTACTCGGCATAACTGTGAGCTAGTGCCCAGATGTTGTAATCCACGTCTGGGTATAAGGCAGCCCAAGCGATCTTCATACGGGCGTCATTGTCAGCGTCACTCTCAGCAACTAGACGGTTTTGCTCCGCCTCCAGGGTTGCTGCAAAGTTTATCTAAGCCTGAGCAGCCTCCTTCTCCAGCCTCTCAACCTTGGTCTTCAGGTTGGTGTTCTCTTCAGAAACACCATGAAGTGTGCCAAGGTCCGCCTGGGCCTTCTTGAGCTCCTCATTAGCCTTCTTGGCGCTCTCATCCGCCTTTTTCTTGAGCTCCTCCGCCTTCTTCTGGGTCGTCTCTGCATCGCCCGCACGCAGGTTGGCCGTCTTCAGATCCACCTCCAGCTGCTGGATTCTAGACGCCTGTGTCATTATGATTGCTTTAGTTTCAAGTTCATTTACGATAGTCGAGTGTAAAGCAATATTATCAGCGTCTGTGGCGGACTTCTTGGCCCTTTTTACCTCTTCCCGTTTGCAGGAATAAGGACATTTGCGGGAATCGACCATTATTTCGCCCGATCTGGCGGAGTTGCCCGATCGGGCGCGCAAGTTCAGTCACAAACTCGAGCAAATTTCGCTCGATCGGGCGCAAATCGAGTGAAGGAAAAGATATGTCGGGCAAAGCTCGCCCGATCGGGCGAGCCATAGGGCGAATTTTTTGTTCGTGTTCGCGCCCGATAGGGCGGAGCTCGCCCGATCGGGCGCGCAACTCCAATTCTGGAATTCAAATGATCCGCTCGATCGGGCGAGGCTCGCCCGATCAGGCGCGCCTATTTTTTGGCCGTCCCTTATATTTTTCTTCTTCTTTCTTTCCTCATTTTTTTCTTACTTCATCTTCTTCTACTTTACTTTCTCTCTCTAAAACCCCAATTTTTACACCTTCAAACTCACTTATTCTTCAAGATCCTCTCCAATCCTTCCATCAAAACTCAAAGTTTTTTACATATTTCTAATCCTTTCACCTTTCTCTACAATCTAAACCCAATTTCTACCATTTTCTCTCAACTTTTTCTAAACCCTAAGAGAGAGAAACCACTCAATTCCTATTCTTTCCACCATCAATGGCTTTCAAGAGGTCAAGAACGGTGAGGGGGGAAGGCTCAAGGAACCAAGAGGCGAGAATTGACTCGGACTTGCAAATTCTGGGATGGGAGAGGGTGGTCATCACCACCGAAGAGCAAAAACAGAGGATGCTTAATCTCATCACGAGGCAGGTCATTCCCACTCGTTTCATTCATCACCCTACCCTCATTACATTAGGAATTGATAAGTATGTGGAAAAATTATTCAAAGGAGTTGGCATGAGCGGTTTCTTTAATATGCATTACGATACTTATGATTATTTAACCTTAGAATTCGTTTCTAGTTTTAATGTCATAAAATCAAATGCATTAATTTCTCATGTTCAATTTCGGTTATTCAATAATGATATTAGATTGAAATTGAAAGAGTTTGGTAAAATTTTTGAGTTGAAATCGGATAAACCTCTTGAACCACCCAAACAACATTGTCGTTGTCTATCAATCCCTTACGGAGGATCCTAACTTGAACCTCCAACATGCTAAAGGTACTTGGATAAAACATCTCGTGCCAAAGATTTGGCAACGGTTTGTTGGCCTTACCATTTTTGGAAGGCATGAACCGCCCAATGTTAGGCGGGATGAGCTTGAATTACTAGGGTCATACATGATCCCTAGGAGTGAAAAGCTCAATATAGATAAAATGGCCAATCACTTCCAACGGGTGGCCAACGCGGCCGAGGCGGGTAGGTCTAGGGTACCCATCTACTTTGGTGGCCTAGTTACACATATAGCGGTCAAACACCTTAGCTTCGTCCCTAACGATGATGGTAAGGTCGCCGGCCCAACTCTTATGGACCTACCCTATCTAGGTAGCCTTAACTGGATTAACGTCATGGGAGGGGAGACATGGTGGGTGATTCAAAGGGAATCGGGTAGGAGGGATAATGCTTTCACTTTACCTCACCCACTACAGCAAATCATCACTTGTGCCACGAATTATGTCACGGGAATTCAAAATTCGTGGCATATTTTCATATAGCCATGGGAAAAATGAATTATAATACAAACCTAAATAAGAAGAGCAATTTATGCCACGGGTATTTTTTTCCCATGGCAAATTCACACTTGTGTCACGAGTAGTGCTTTTTCCGTGGCAAACTTTACATTTGTGCCATGAATATATCTTTTCCCGTGGGAACAACAATCATACACTCAAGCCATGGATTTTGCTACAATATAAAAATTTTATAGGTAGATCTAGCCATGCCATAAAAAGAAGGAAATTATAGCTTATACTCCGTAATAACTTTACTAAAAATAAATATTTACATGACAATTAATTAGATAACATGAATTAGCCATATATATATATATATATATATATATATATATATATATATATATATATATATATATATATATATGAAATAAAATAAGCACTAACTGATATAGTAAAATATGAAACATAATATAAATTAAAGGGTAAATATATTAATATATATGATCTATTTCAAATACACAATTAACTTTTTTTTTTATTTATAGATTTGCTTTTTTTAAAGCGCAAAAAACACCAACAAGTGTATATTCAGTACTAGTCACTAGTACTCCCTCCGTTTCAATATGATAGTCCCATATGGAATCAATCACATAAAATAAGAAAAGGTGAATATTTGGAATCTAGCATTAAAGTAAAAAACAATTTATAAATTATTTGCCTTATTTAATATTTTTTGATTTTTTTAAGGAAATCATTAGTTATAATTGCATAAATCAAGGGAATAATTTCTTTACATAGAGTCGTGTTATTAATTCACAATCAATTAATCTAACCACTCAGAATTTATCATGTATAAAATAGGAAATAAAAACTAAGTTAAAAGTGGAATACATTCAATATGGGTAGATCTTTTTTAAACACCCAAAATAGTATATGGGACTAACAAATTGAAAACGGAGGGAGTAGTAAAATTTTAAAAAGACACCAAAAAAAATGCGCTAGTTTTATAGAAACTTTAGTCCGTACAGTAATGGAAAAATTGCTATTAAAAGCACTTAGATTAGCAATTGACATTAGTGCTGTCAAAAGCTGACCCGACCCGAAATATCGACCCTAACCCGACCTATTAATCGACCTTTCTGAACCCGAAAAAAAATGGTGACCCGAACCCCACCAAACCCGACCTGAAACCAACCTTAGACCTGAGTTGACCAGAGTATTTGAGACCCAAATCCGAACATTAACCGACCTAGAGACGACCCGACCCGAATGTAACCCGTAAATTATTGACCTGAACTGAACCGACCTGAACCGAAATTGACCCAAACCCGTTTTAACCCGTTAAAACCCGAATACAACCCGACCTGTTCCTAACCCGACCCAAATTCAACCCGACTTGTTCCTAACCCGACCCGAATTAACTCGACCTACTACAAAACCGACTCAAATTTCAACCCGACCTATTACAAACCCGACCCGAATCAACCCGATTTGTTATTGACCTGACCCAAATTCAATCCGACTTGTTATCGAATCAATATGTATAGGTCGTTACCTCATGTTGGTATTGGAATGAAAATTGAATCCTAACTCTATTCCTCCAAGATTTCACTTTGAATTTTAAGAGGTTAGTTTCACAACATGTTTTTAGGGACGAATTTCAGGGACAAAACATGTTTGCCGCAAATTGTTAACTTGAACCGAACTTGACTCGAACCCGAGAATGACCCGACTTGATTATAACCCGCAAATTATTGACTTGAACCGAACTCGACTTGAACCCAAGAATAACCCGACCTGATTATAACCCATAAATAATTGACTTGAACCAAACCCGACTCGAACCCGAGAACGACCCTAACTCGTTTAAACCCGTAAAGATCCGAATTTAACCCGACCTATTTTCACCCGACGCGAATGTAACCCGACCTTTTACTAACCCGACCCAATCCCGATAAGATGTATGAACTTACGTGACCCGACTCAAGCATATCCCAACCCGAACCCGACCCGCATATGTTATGACCTAACCCATATTGACTCGACTCACACTAACATGACTTAAACTCGACCTGTTTACCCGAATTGACAGCTCTAATTGACATTATGCTAATTGCTATTTTTTTTTTTTTTTTAAAAGTTATGAAGAAATAAACATTATAAAACCCCCTTGTACTAGAATAAAGAATAGAAAACAAACTAGCGTCATCAATCTCATTATAAACAAAGTTGAACAAAATTATTGTACCTAACCTACTCGTAACTTATCTCAAAGTTGCCCCGCTGTATTTTTTTTTAATATTTGGGTTAAACTATTTTCGTGTTTGAAAAAGAAAAACAAAACTCAGAACCTGCCTTTCATTTTCGCAACTTCTGTGTTCTCCTCCATTTTCGATCTTTGCTCTTCTCCATTTTCGCTCAGGTTCATCGGGCTTTGCTCTTCTCCATTTTCGCTCAACTCTCACCTTCTCCACCAGAGTATAAAGTTTATGGTGAAGAAGAACCTGCCTTTCGTTATCAACTATCAATCAGTTTCTCAATCTAGGGTTTGCTTGCTGTTCAACATTTAATAAGTTTCTCAGGTAAAGTTGTCTTTAATCTTGATTTAAATAATCGACTATCATTTCACAATACAGGGAATTAATTGCAGGACTATGAATTGTCTGTGATGTTTAATTTGAGAGAAAATTGTTGATGATTTCATGAAATTTCGCTGGTAATTTATTGTTTGTAAAGGGGGAAGAACAAAAATCAAATTCTATTCTTTCGTTGCTTATGTGATGTATTTTTCTTGAAGGATCTTCTCAAATTTTAATTTTGACTTAATTTTTTATTTACTGGGTTCGCAAACCCTATGATGTTATCAATTTTGGGAAATTAGGGATAGGGGATGTTTAATTGTATTAAATTTAGTTTGTTTTGATATATTTGGTCAATTAATGAGCAAGGGATTATTGAATATGATTCTGCTTGCATTATGCTCATCCTTTTTATCTTTGGTTAGTTATTTATATCTCGAAGCTTTTTATTTGTGGCATTGAATGAATGCTAAACTATAATTTGAGCTAGTCATAGATGTAAAGTGAAGCTAGTTGTCGGGCAGTTCTTTGTTTGATCAATTTTAGTCGAAATTTTCTGTTTTTGACATCTGTAGGATTTTGCTCTTAGGTGAAACCGTGAAATGAGGGACTATTGTTTCATTTATATGGTCACTTGTTAATATTGTAGTATAATTTAGCTTTCGTGTCGTTGTTTGTTGATAACACATAGCTTGATTTTGTTTGTATGGCATATCTTCTGCTAGTCTATACAGTTTGCATACTTTGTTTTGGTTGTTTTCTGCCACTAATTTATCTTGTCTCATGTAATTATTCTTAGTTATATCACCATTAGATTAAATACATATCTGCCCACCAATTTTCATTTTTGAGTGATAAAAATACTGCTCTATATCTCCCCTAACCTTCCCTTGACCATTTTGTTAGTCCATATGTATTAAATACTAATATCCATGTACATATGAAAACATTAGTTTTGGTATGCAATGTAATTGCTTTTACTTAAAAAAAAAGTTATTCAGCTAATGAAATAAGTGTTTAGTATAGGAAAGTTGGGTAAACTCATCATTCTATGAGTATTCATACTCCAACTAATGTTGTACGGTTCAAATTTATTTTGTCAAATTCCTTGTTCTTACCATCTTCTATGAATAAATTATTGGTAGTTTTGATATTCCTCAATAGTATATGCTACATGGCATGAAAGCAAGTCAAACTCCCCATATTCATGATTTCATGCTTGATGTTCAATGATAAATTTTCTCACTGTTATATTGGAGGATTGTTGTGAGTAGGTGTAGCAGTATATCACATACAAAATTTCATTCCAGATTGGATTATGATGATGGCTTACTTACTGTTAAAGTTTCAACTCCATATCTCTATATGCATGCTAAAAGATTGGACTATCTCTAAATAATGGGAATGATATAGTTTTTATAACTTCTTTATTCACAAGGTTTTTGCCCAGAAATGAGTGTAAATAACTAGATCTCTTTGTTTGTTACTCTGGTAATGGATATGTTATACTACCTTCTTTTGTGGCAACACCTATCAGAACTTTTCGTGGGAACCTAAGAAATTTGTTGTATTCACAAGTCTCTTCCCCTAAATTTATTTACAAGGTCAAGACAGTATTCTGTAAAATTAGTGTGCTGGGATATATAAAAACGAAAATGATGTATTATAAATAAATTTGTATGTAAACTTAGTGTCTTAGTGTGATATTCCAAATGCTTTTCCTTATTTGCTTTGCCTCTAACCTTTCGCTCAGTTACCTCTTCTGCAGCTTTTCCACAACAAGCTTCTTGTGTATGGATAGCACAGGACCTTGCAGAGATAAGGCCCTTACGTATGAGCCACATACTAATATCTACTACTTGTAGAAATGGCCATCATATAGAAATTACTAGTCCCCTATCATCAATATGCTTCTTAATAATACTGAGAAATGCCAACCTAAAAGCTTTACAACCTTCAGTTTCTCTCGTTTTTCCAGTTCGAACTTCATGTTCTTCATCCCCTGCCTCGTTGTCACTGATTTAAGAATTTATCATCTTTCTCAGCTTTCATGTCTTCAAAAATAGATGACTGCCATGTCTGCAATAAAACCTGCCATTTTCTACTTGTTAGTAGCAATTTGGCAGAGTAGATGACTGCATGAACCTTCATTTAGCTTCTTTTTTAATTGTTTATAGTTCTTGAAATTGAAAGTGGCTCTTTAGCCTGACTAAATGCAATCTTAGAAGAGTGTGATATTTACTACTTGGACTTGAAACAAAAACAGAACAGTAGATGAGTACAAATGCATCTGTTGTCTAGGCTTTCTCATTCTTCCTTCTGAGAGTCTGGTCTGAATAATTAAGAAGTAGAAATTCTCATAAATTGAGTAGAAATTGATATTTTGCAATGTACATGTCATATTTTGTAATGTACAAGATTGTACTTTGGACATTCTTTCTTAGTGTACTATATATATTCTCCTACTCATACTTATTTTATTATATGCAAATATAATATATGTTTCTCCTAAAATTGCAGTGAATTAAATCTTGGACTTATGACATAATCTCAAAACAAAGAAAGCTCCTGCTGGCTGAAATTGAAGACATTTGTGCTGTGCAGTGTGCTAGTTGAAGAAAGCAAGGTGGTTTAGATGCTCCAAGGTTTACCGCTATTGTTGTAGTTGGCCTAGGCATTGCTGTTGTGGCCGGACACTGCTTTTGCTTGGCTGATTGTTGCTGCTTCAATTGTAGTGTACTCTAATCATCTAATTGTATTTTTTTTTTAATTTTTTCGGATAAAAAGTGTAAATTTACAAGCTATTAATGGGAATATCTATGTTTTATAAGTATATTTGTAATATAACTATTGATCAATTTTGGGTTAAAAATGCAAAAAATGGGAAAAAAAAAATTGCAAGTGTTAGTAGCCACATTAATATTTAAAGCAACATATTGCATTAGCCACGATAGTATTTGTGGCAAACAAGCTTATTTGCCGCGGTAGAATATATGGCATATAATTTGTTAGTCACATTAATATTTTTGGCAAGTCAATTTGTTTGCCACGTGAATACTCGTGGCATAAAATATAAAATTTGCCACGACATCCATTTTCCCGTGGCAAATTCCTAGCCACGGCCTCTTGTGCCACGGGAGTAAATTTCTAAATTCCCGTGGCTAAATTACATAGCCACGGGAATTCTAAACTTGTGCCACGATTCTACTCGTGGCACAAAGGTTAATTTGTTGTAGTGATCCCACCTTGACCAAATTTGAGAAGGGGAAGCCTTCTTACACTTTTGAGCTTAACGGTCAAGGTGAGGTGCAACCACCTCACCCTTCACCTCAACCCCATCACTCTCCCATTGACCACTCACCTCCTCACCATTCACCACATTATCCACCACCTCAACCCTTTACATACGATATCTCCACTTCCTCTACCAACTACAACATAGACCCCAACGCCCCTTATGACTTCTCGGCTTTTAGGAGCCAATTGGATAGGATTGAGACGGGGCAAGGGAGAGTTGAGGGTTTGGTTAGGGATTTGGATGCTAGAGTAGGGTCTCTAGATAGAAGGGTTGGTTATGTGGAGAGGAACCTAGGGAGGGGTTTATACCCCATGTATGATGACTACGCCCGTCGGGGGGCTATTCCCCCGATTCACTTGTCCCTGATTGGTTCCAATATCCGCATGGTGGATATACGAACCCAAGTGCCTTTGGTACCTACGTCGACTACTCATCGGTCCATGGATATGGGACCGATGTACTTTTTGGTGGGCTTGGGGGGAATGTGGACCCTAACTACTTTGCAGGTGGTTCAGGGTATGGAGGTGGTGGCTCTAGCCATGGAGGAGCCGGTTCTAGCCATGACGGGGGCTATTCGAGGATGGATGAGGATGAGGAGTAGGCTACTCTCCCAAGTCAATGAGGGCATTGCTTGATTTGGCTTAGGGGGTGTTCTTTCACTTGGTAATTCTCTTCCCTTTTCTCTTTTTATTTGCTTTCCCAGTGTAGTTTTTATTGCTTTCTTATATATGAAAAATACAAAAAAATCCAAAAATAAAAAAATCCAAAAATACGTTCCAATAAATTATGAATCATACTTCCCTGTGCCCCATACTTGAGAAAAATTTGTTTTGATTCTTGGTTATTGATAATGAGCATTGTGGATTTGTTGGTCATGATTTGAAGTTTAATTGCTTGGATTCCTAAACATGAGTCAATTTTGCCCAACTACTTGTGAATATAGTGCTTGACTAGTTGATTTAGTTAGGAAATGTGTGATAGTTCCATAATTCCTGGTATGTCAATGAATTTGAGTATTGATTTGCAACTATGAGTAGTGTTTCATGACTTATTATTATGCACATGAGGAGGACGAAGACGTTCATTCTTTTAGGTAGCCTTCAGAGTATTAGATACATTTGTTCCCTTCTTGTTACCCATGTTGTTGCTTGTGCCCTTTTATTGATTATTTAGCCACATTACAAGCCTATTTGAGCCCCATTGGTTACTAGTCCCAAGCTTGGCTTGGGGGAGCTATTAGTTGGTGAGGTGAGGGATTTGTGGTGTGCACATTATTTGCACAATGTGGGAATAAAAGAAGAGTGATTGTTCTTTGATTTTTGATTGGAAAATATTGATGTTGTGTTTCAAAGTTGAAATTTCCAATATGAGTTAAAAAGAAAAAAAAGAGCAAAAGAAAAATTTAATGCTCAAATGTTCTATTTGAAAATTGTTCAAGAAAAAAAAAGAAAAAAATTTTAAGTTTGAAAAAGAATGAGTTCAAAGTTTGTATTTCACTCAAAGTTCTACATTATCATAATTTTATGAGTGACTATTGTAAGTGTTGGGATTGTTTATGACGATTGGAGTTGTATTTGGTGGTTTTTGTTGGAGTTGGTTATGTTTATGGAGATGTATGATCATCATTTATTTTGATCATGGGTTTATTAGGATTTGGCTCCCTTAATGCATAGCTTTTCTCTCACATAATCCCAAATTTATCCTACCTTTACCCTAGCCTTACATTACAAGCTTAAAAGACCTTCCGACCTTGTGCATAGAAGTTATGTAAATGTGAAAGTGTTGTTTATCAATGCAAGTTATGACTTGGCATATTTCGAGTCGACTAGTAGGATGAGCGTTCATTGTTTTTATACACACGAGAGTGTGAGTCGGGAGGGCATTGTTCACATTAAAAGGGTTGGGTTGGAGAGCGATCAAGTACATCCTTTACTCGCCACATAAATGAGAGTTGAGTGTGTGAGCACTAGTCTTGAATTCTATATGCTTTTGTGGTTTGCTTTACTTGACAATTGTTGGGGAGGAAAGGTGATTAGATGAATAAGATTGATTGATGTTGAAGCATGTTCATTAGGTTTGCCTCTAATCGTTGGTTTTTGATTTCATGATTGGGTGAAGTATGTTTTATATGTTCATTGATGAGCTCTTTGCTTAGGGACAAGCAAAGGTTTGGCTTGGGGGAGTTTGATATGTCCATTTTATATAGTGTTTTACCCCCGTCCCTTGGTCGTTATTAGTAGTGTTTTTGGCTCTATCGGGCCACTTTTATTACTAATTTTTGTGTTATAGTGTTTTCGTAGTTTTAGTTGTATTTTACAGGAAATTGCACTCTTGGAGCATTTTCCCGGGCTTTTTGGATCAACTACGGAAGCTAGAATGACATGGCCCCTTTTGGAGCCCAGGATTGGTGAGAGCCGGTGATTAAGGGCTCGGTAAATGGGATCCCGAGGCATTTGGACCAAGTATTCGAGACCCGAGAGGAAATCCGGATTGGGCCGAGAAATCTAGCCCAATCGAAGTCCAAGCCTCAAGGAGAAGCAACCGCCCGATCGGGCTACCTCTAGCACGATCGGGCGCGGCAAGATTAGTAGGCTGAGCGTGCTGAGGCGCGCCTGATCGTGCGAGCATCTAGCACGATCGGGCGATGCTGCTGCGTAGGAACGCGAAGAAAAAGGCGCGCCCGATCGGACGGTCTTTCGCCCAATCGGGCGCGCGTTTCTGGAAGACCTGATTAAGTTAGTTTTAATTCTTGTTTTAGGAAACGTTTAAATACGATTTTGTACGGAATTTTTAGATTACCTTCTTTCTTAGACTTTCTCTCTCTACTTAATATTTTTCTCTCTCTTAAATTCTCTCTCAACTTTTGTTCTTAATTCTTCCTTTAATTCCAGATTTATTTTTTGTACAATTTCTTCTCTTTTGATTTCAACTATTTTATTTGTTTTCTTGATTATGCTTTTATTTAATTGCTTGATTAGTTTAGTCATGATGATTTGTAAGTAGTTTAATTTCTAGGGTTTATGGGGATCTAATAAATTATATGAAGGGATAATTTTGTGTTTGTTAATAATCAATGCTTGGTTGATTTCCTATTGATTGATTAAATGCTATGCAATGAGGTTTGGCCAGATTTAATTGTATGAGTTTAACAATATTAATTCGAGATTCGATAGATGAGAATTGATGTTTAGGCTTAGTTTCAATAGGCGGATTAATTTATAAATGGTTAAGTCGAGATTCGACAGATGAGATTTAATACCGGTAAATTAACTCTGTGATTATAATATGTAGCGAAAGCCCTTTATAAGCTGATTAACCAATGCTTGATGATTGCTTACTATGATTTGCCCTGGAATATTGTTTATTAGTGAACCTATGCCCTAAGCCTTTTAATATTTGATTTTCTCCCTACTTTATTTCCTTCGACCTTATTCTCCGTAGTTTAGATTTTATTCATAAAAATATTGGTTACTTAGATAATTTAGATTATATTTATTAATTAGAAGTAAAAAGACCTGTTTCCCTGTGGAGTTCGACCCTACTTCCCTATCTACCTTAGTTAGAGAATTTAGGTAATTATTTTTTATTAGGGGATACGACCTTACCCTGTTAGCATCCCTTGAAAGTTGACGACTTAGTGTTACGAAAAATGGAGGCAACCTGTAGGGCCAATGAGCTAGGAAAGCTAACTCCAAATTGGGAAGGCCCCTACCGGATCTATGAGGAAGTAAGAGACGGCACCTATCGCCTGGAAACCCAGACGGAAGGCGCCTGCCTAGAACTTGGAATGTAGACAATTTGAAAAAGTACTACTTCGGAGAATGTAAGTCTTTTGTAAACAGTAAGTCAATTAATGAAGATTCAGACTTTGTTTGCAAAATTGTTTTGTTGTTTTTTTTATTATCCGCCCGGGTAATACTCAGACGGATTCTACATTTACCTAACTAAGTTTGATACTTAGTAAAGGTTACATTTGTTTGATCGCCTGGGTAATACTCAGATGGATCCTTTGTTTAATTAATTAAGTTTGATACTTGGTAAGATTTAATAATTGCCTGTCCGTCTGGGTAATACCCATACAAGCTTTTTTGTTTAACCAACTAAGTTCGACACTTAGTGTAAATTCACCGATTAAAAACTAAGCACAAAAACGCTTAGTGGCTATACAACCGGTCCTAAACGAGACCAAAGGCTAAAATGGTCGGATGGTTGCCCATTTTATAAAATCACCTGTCCCAACATGGACAAAGGCATCCGACGACATCCCTCCGGGTGCAATCGTCGCAGAGAACAGATTATTTTTCGGTTCTACGTACCCATGCAGATGGCAAAAATTGAATGACCGAATTGGTCAATTCATAGCCGTCTGACCAGAATGATCTGTGATGAACGATCAAGTTACTAAATACCGGATGCCCTGGGGCATCAATTGGTCTCCGGCTGAAGTTCTCACTTAGTTTATTTATTCCAAAATTGCACTCTCTATCCCTATTGGGGCAAAAGAGTTGTTCAAAGGCTATGAAATCTCTACC